TGCGCTCTAGCTAATAATGCTGCGCTCTAGCCAATCATGCTGCGCTCTAGCCAATCATGCTGCGCTCTAGCCAATCATGCTGCGCTCTAGCTAATAATGATTCGCTCTAGCCAATCATGCTGCGCTCTAGCCAATCATGCTGCGCTCTAGCCAATCATGCGCTGCGCTTTAGCTAATCGTCCCATCACTCTAGCCAATCATGCTGCGTTCTAGCCAATAATGCTGCGCTCTAGCCAATCGTCCCATCACTCTAGCCAATCATGCTGCGCTCTAGCCAATCATGCTGCGCTCTTGCTAATAATGCTGCACTCTAGCCAATCGTCCCATCACTATAGCCAATAACCAGTTTCGCCAGCAAACATGCCGTCAATCTCGCCAATCATTTATTTTTCTAGCAAAAAACATGTTACTCTAGCCAATAACCCGTTGCTCTAGCAATAGCCCGTTGCTCTGGCCAATCACCCGTTGTTCTAGCCAATCACCCGTTGCTCTAGCCAATCACCCGTTGCTCTAGCCAATCACCCGTCGCTCTAGCAAATCACCCGTTGCCCTAGCCAATCACCCGTTGCCCTAGCCAATCACCCGTTGCTCTAGCTAATCACCCGTTGCCCTAGCCAATCACCCGTTGCTCTAGCCAATCACCCGTTGCCCTAGCCAATCACCCGTTGCCCTAGCTAATCACCCGTTGCTGTAGCCAATCACCCTTTGTCCTAGCCAATCACCCGTTACTCTAGCAATGACCCACCCGATGCTGAGGCCAATCACCCGTTGTCCTAGCCAATCACCCGTTGCTCTAGCCAATCACCCGTTGTTCTAGCCAATCACCCGTTGCCCTAGCCAATCACCCGTTGCCCTAGCCAATCACCCGTTGCTGTAGCCAATCACCCTTTGTCCTAGCCAATCACCCGTTACTCTAGCAATGACCCACCCGATGCTGAGGCCAATCACCCGTTGTCCTAGCCAATCACCCGTTGCTCTAGCCAATCACCCGTTGTTCTAGCCAATCACCCGTTGCCCTAGCCAATCACCCGTTGCCCTAGCTAATCACCCGTTGCTGTAGCCAATCACCCTTTGTCCTAGCCAATCACCCGTTGCTCTGGCCAATCACCCGTTGCTCTAGCCAATCACCCGTTGNCGGATGAACCCTCGGATGAACCCTCGGATGAACCCTCGGATGAACCCTCGGATGAACCCTCGGATGAACCCTCGGATGAACCCTCGGATGAACCCTCGGATGAACCCTCGGATGAACCCTCGGATGAACCCTCGGATGAACCCTCGGATGAACCCTCGGATGAACCCTCGGATGAACCCTCGGATGAACCCTCGGATGAACCCTCGGATGAACCCTCGGATGAACCCTCGGATGAACCCTCGGATGAACCCTTGGATGAACCCTCGGATGAACCCTCGGATGAACCCTCGGATGAACCCTTGGATGAACCCTCATATAAACCCTCGGATGAACCCTCTGCAGAAATAACTAGCGATGCACTTGCTGCCCTCAATGGAGTCATGCTGACACAGTTTACCCCGACAAAGTGCAAGCAACGTTTGCTGTCAGTGGGACGAAGTGTGTCACTTTTTGCGTCAAATGACCCATGTGTTGTCTGAGTGTCCAGAACTGCGTCGATTTTGAGACAAAAAATTCCCAGCCAACGCCCGGTACGGCCAATCATGGCCGCGCTAAGGCCGGCCACGGCAGCATTATCCACGCCAATCAATTATTAATGATTGGCGGACCCCGGCCGATGATATCAGCACGGGCGTGGCGCCAATACCTGCTGTTTTTGATGCCAATCACCCGCTGGTGTCAGCGCCAATCACATCGGAATGATTGGTTCTCATTTAGACGCTGCCAATAAAAACATAACAATTTTAATACATGCATTGGCTTAACAATTATAATTATTATCATCGTTTTCTCTAGTTATCTACGTTATCTACATCATCAGCATCATTATTATCTCCATTATCATCATTGTTCTTATCTCCATTATCATCATTGTTCTTATCTCCATTATCATCATTGTTCTTATCTCCATTATCATCATTGTTCTGGTC